GGCAACAGGAAAAGAGAGAGACACTGAGCTAAGCTTGAGTATTTAAAACCTCAAAGCCCACCTCCAGTGATACATTTCCTCCAAGGTTACACCTACTCTAACAATGCCACACCTCCTAATAGTGCCATTCCCTATGAGCCTATGGGGGCCATTTTCATTCAAATCATTTTGAAAACCAAACACCACATATGACTGCTGTCATGTGCCCTAGCAACAAAGAATTAGATTTTTTAAAAAATAATAATAATTAGGTATTGCTTTGATAGCATTAAAAAATGTAATAATAAAGTACAAATCCAGCAAAATATGTCCAGGATGTATAAGCAAAGAACTACAAAATATTGATAAACTAAGCCACAGATGAACACATGAAAATTAACAGACACTATGCTCCTAAGATTAATACTCTTGTCAATTTTCCCCAAGTTTTCCACAGATTCTCTGTAACAAAAATCCAAACACTAGCAGGACTTCACTAAGGTAATATCCCTAATCAGATACAAGAAAGCAGAGGCAGGTAGACATATATCCATAGATATAACATCACAGGATTTCTGGGAAATGCTTGCAACGATACAAGGAAAACAATGCATGTTTGGGAACCTCTAGCAGAGTGACAACCCACAAGAGAACTCTCCTGCCATCCGACTCTAGGCACAGATAATGGCAGCTTTCTGGTAAAAGCAGTATATAATAACTAGTTTCTATAGTAAGGCAACTGGATCACAAGCAGCCATTAAATTATGTTACTCAACAGAATATGAGACTTCAAAGACAGCAAAGAAAACAAACCCTGACATAGTTTTGTTAAATAGATAATCCAGTTACTCAAATTGATTTAGCCTCAAGGTGGAAATAAATTCTGTATAATATCTTACGGTAGGCAAATTATGCAAAGAACAGAAAGCAACAGAAAAGAAAATCCAATGAAGAAACAACAAACATCTATTTTTAACTCTGGTTAAAATCATCAACAGGGGCTAGAAAGATGGCTCAGTGCAAACATGTGTGCGCACGCACGCGCACACACACATGGGGGGGGGTGTCTTGGTAACTATATTTTTTTAATTTATTAATTTTTATATGAATGGGAGTTTTGTCTGCCTGTATGTCTTTACCAGATGAGTGTTACGCCCATGAAGGCCAGAAAAGGATGTTGGATTTTGTGGGACAGGAGGTATACAGACAGTTGCAAGTTGTCATGAAGGTGCCTAGAATTAAGGCACCTCAGATCCTCTGAAGAACGAGTTAATTACACTTAAACACTGAGCCATCTCTCTGTGTCTCTCTCAATCTCCCCTCTCCATTCCTTCCCTCCCCACCCCCCCAAAAGGGAGGAGGAGTTGGTCTGAGGTGAGGGGATCTGGGAGGGAAACTGTGGTTAGGATAGACTGTACGAGAGAAGAATAAAAGAAAGAAAAGAAGAATCAAAAAAATATAGCTTGGGCTAGAGAGATGGCTCAGCAGTTAAGAACACTGTCTGCTCTTCTAGACATCCTGAGTTCAATTCCCAACAACCACATGGTGGCTCACAACCATTTATGATGGGATCTGGTGCCCTCTTCTAGCCTACATGCAAACAGAAAACTGTATGCAAAATTAATTAATTAAAATATATATATACATATGTGTATATACATATACATATATATCCTTAATTTAGGTCAGGTATGGAAAGATAGGAGATAGGTTTACTGGCTATTGTAAGAATGCAGTTCTGAAGTATGCCCTGTCCCAATATAATTGGTTTTCAATTTGTTCTCTTACAGATAATAAGTCATAGTATTCTTTCAGTCCTGGACTGAGGTCTCAAAGGAAAGCCCATTTTTATTTTCCTGACAAAGTATTTGTTGTATACGAAATTTCAAGTTGAGAAGCCAAATGAAAATTTCATCCTTGAGTTCCTTGAGTCATAATTAGAGTTAACCATGTTAAGTAGTCTTTGGAAAAGCACTCTTTGTGAAGTTTAAAGTGTGATATTTTGCAGTTAGAAATTACCTTTACATTTATACTTTTTTCCCAAATATTTTCAGATACAGTTAATTAAAAGATTTCATAACTTTAATTTTATAGACTCCTCAAAAGTATAGTATCAGAACTGGCCACAAATTTTTAGGAATTAAAACAGATATACAATAAAAATATTTATAACTAAAAGGGAAAATATAACTTCTGGAAAACAATTTTGAACTGTATTTCAGCATTAGATTCACATATTCTGATCAGTTATCATTGGAAAAAGCAAATTATATCTCCAGTTCATAAGGGAAAAAATTAAGCTATGAAATTATTTTGTAACATAAAATTTTATTTAAATCACCAGCTGCAGCATTTTTCAAAATTAGTATTTTATCTGAATACTTGTATTAAGTGCACAAGTGTGAAAAACACTGTTACCATGGAAACAGAATCTTCATAAATTCTAGCATATGTAATTTTTCATAAAAATAATGTAATCTATTTTTTCTCGAGACAGGGTTTCTCTGTGTATCTCTGGCTGTGCTGGAACTTGCTTTGTAGACCAGGCTGGCCTCAAACTCAGAAATCCACCTGCCTTTGCTTCCTGAGTGCTGGGATTAAAGAGTATGCCATGACACCCAGTTTTTTAATCCAATTCTTAATCTAATATTTATTACTATTATTATTATTTGTTAAAACCAGGGGATTTTAAAATTATCTTTTGAAAATTTTAGTAACATATAAGTACTGCACTCATTTGTGAATTTAATAAACCAAAAATATTAGACTAAGTATTGTATCTTAAAAACTGTTATTTGTGATTTCTCATGTGTCTCTAATCATAACTCAGTTACACAGGGATTGCACAGAAATGTCCAGACTTGAGCTTTTTTGCTATAATTATTACTTGCAGAAAATTTAGATATAGTTTCTCAAAATAACCTGACTGTAACTTAGAAAAGTCATCTCATTTAGAGTCACAGAGATCCCCTTCAACAGCTACAGCACTGCTTACAGTACAGAATTTATAGCTAATAAGTAGGGAGTGAACTTAGATCAAACAGTGGTAAAATTGTAGACTTTCACAATTTTCAAAAAAAAGACAGGCCTACTAGCTCATAAAGTAGGTTCCCAGGGCTCTAACAGACTGACACAACATACCCACACCTTGGGAAATCAACAGACTTCTCTTTGCCTTTATTTCTTCTACTTGATCAAGATATTTTGACAATAGCCTAAGCAAACACTTAACTCTCTAACAGAAGGACACTATATAAATTATTATGTTAATAATTTCCATATTCCAATCATAATTCTCAACCAAATGATAGTAACATGTTCCCTCTGACTGTAGTTTTTAGTTTAAAATAACATTTTTGTATCATCTCTCTTTAACATATCTGTCATTCTAGCAAGATGGTTTCCTTTGAAAATGCATGAATAATAAGTAGCCCAACATTTTCATTTTTAGCATTCCCAAACCCTCATGACACAATGCTATGCAGGATTTTTTCAAAACTCACAATAAAAATCCATATTACTTTCAATTTCTAAAGAATGCAATTCAAACCCATGTACTCATCAACTATTCCCCAATAAAACTTCAACACTAGCCATAAAAGATTATAAAAGTGCATATTACTTTTTTAAATTATAAAAAAATTCTAGTGACAAGTTTTTAGAAATCTAGGATAAAACATTTTGAAAACTCAACACTATCCCTAATACTAGAATAAGCAATGATTAATACTCTAATAATAGAGCCATCAGTTCCATGTTCTTCTTTGGCTCAATGGGTAATTAGTCTTTTAAAAATGTGTATTTGGTTCTGGCTCATTGATTTCCAATGCCAAACATTAAGAAAATAGTCTATTGTCTGAGTTCCTGTCCCAGAATCTAAGTGGTGAAAAGAAAGAACCAATTCCTGCAAAGTGTCCTCTGACCACTGACATGTACACCACGGCAGGTGCACATACATACATACAGAAATGTAATTTAAAAAGTAATCTGGTTACTATATATATTTCCACCTAAAAAGGTATGCACCTCATGAACAAGAGTAGAAATGTATTTAAAATTACTAACAATTGATAGAAATTTAATTTTAAATTAATGTATTTTATTTTTATATCATTCTTTTGTTATTTTTAATAAACATCTTAAAATAGTTTAGCTTTATAGCCTATGAGGATACGTAACATTTTTCTTTACCACATTTGCCAGCAGCATTAGCAATCACCATATACAATATTTAAGAAAGACCAATCCACCAAGAAACATGCCCATGTTAAAAACAGAAATAGCCCAATGAGATAAAATATTAATAGCAACCGGTCAGTACACATATATACATAAAAATATCAGCACAGGTGTGAACTGAGATTATCATGTGAAAGAAATTACTCATATTTATGCTCTACCATTATGCAAGCAATGGAATGTTTACAAATGTTTTGTGATATAATCACCTTAAGTCAATGTGATGAGTAACATGAACAAATGAATGAAATGACGGAATATCTGAGTGAATGAACACTGAAGTCAGTAAGTAACAGTAAGATGGCTACAACGTAGAATACAAAGAAATGACTTGGATACAAACAAACTAGTTGAAAATCAAACCTGGTTCACTGTAAAGATGCAGGGCTTTCTATCTGTGGAACAAAGAACCTCAACCCAAAGCACACACAGCTACTAACACAGTTCAGTTACCCAGACTTAAAAATATATTGTTTTTATGATGGAACCTCCCCAACACACACATAAACAAAACAAAAACAGAATCACAACAAAAAAAGAGAAAAACTATTTTCTTAATGTTTGGCATTGGGGATCAATGAGCCAGAACCAAATACACATTTTTAAAAGACTAATTTACTCATATTCTGTTTAAGAGCAACAAACAACCAGTTTTAAAACTTAGGCTTTTAAAACAGCATCCTTATATAAAGCCATTGGGGGGGACACCCCTGCCATACATATGAAGCAGTTTAAGCCAATACAACTGGCCAATCAAAATTAGTGAATGCACTGCATCTCTCTGCAGTGGGGAGAAGCGACAAGGTAGGCTGTCACTCTGCAAAAGCTGCTCGGAGCAGGCTTTCCTCTCCAGAGCAGTGCCCTTCCTAATCAGAAAGCCTGGATCCGAATGCCGTCTCTGGAGACAAGAAGCCTTCAGTATGCTAAATTACTTTCATTATGTATTTTCAAATGCTTATTGACTCCACAGTAGGAAGAGTGAGAGGCTGCTGCAGCCGGGAAGCAGCACTACACATTCTATACATTAGCAGGGCTGCTGAAACAATGGCACGGTACTGATACATTTTCATTAAGGTCGTTTGGAAGAGATTTTTAGAGCCCTCTTCCCCAGCCCTGTACTTTCAAATCAACAGAATGAATCCATCAAAACTGGAAATGCTTCAACTCCATCAGGAAGTCGTCAAATCTTTAGCAGAGGTAAGCTGTGGTCTTTATTATAGTATAGAGCTGCTTTTGAAACAGCAGAGTGGGGCAAAATTACTTTGGAATTTTTAGCCTAAATTTTTAAGAGTTTGATTGTTTTCCTCTAATTGGTAAATATGTAATTTTTAAATTGATTGCTTTTAAGGCATGATGCATTTTAAATGTAATTTTTAGGGTGCACTGTTGGAAAACATTCTGTTCTGTTCTCTATAATGAACTCCAAAAACATAGGCTCGTAAGTTTCTTCAGATATACCAAATATTCTTAATATCACTAATACAGCATTTCTCAAGTGCTAAAAGAATATTTCTATTTCTTATAAGAAGCCGGTTTACTCTTTGGTTGTTTTATGTTAAGATTATAATTGGGTACGCTTACTGAAAATTATTTAATATGCAGTTAAGATTTTTTTTAACTATCATTTACATTTCACCCACCTGAGCAATTCAGCAAAAGAAATTTATAGTGTCTTATCACTGAACCTGCTTTAATGCGTTAAAGTTCAAACTATGTGCTAATAATTAAGCAAGCTGCAACATTTCCCAGCATGCGGGAAATGTTAAATTTATTACCGAGGGGGAAATGGCAGTATGTTTACTGAATACTAACTGTTCATAATCTCTGAACATTCAAGATCACTTCTAAAAGAGAAGAGAAATTATTTTAAAATTACAGTCTTTCTCATGGTTATATTTCAATGCTAATTCTGCTGCTCAATAAGGTAACATAATGCCATTTTTATTTTGAAAAAGAGATTTTATTTGAAGAAGCTTCATTTTATGACTATAGGTATGCCTATAGCAATACAGTTTGCTTATTTGATGAACAGATGCTACATGGCTTAATTTTCTTTAACCAAAGTAACTTGTAATTAATTCAAAATTATTAGGATACCTATTCCTTAATCATTTTTTTGCCTTTTTCACAAGGGCCCACAACTAATTCAGTATACACAACTGACAATTTGAAGGATGCAACTGATTGAGAGGCTCCCTAGCTCTCTGAACCACAAACTACTAGATATTCTTGTAACATATGATTTTAAGACACTAAGGAGTTAAAGCCTCAGATTAGCTGTGCTGGAACTGAACAAGCTGACAGCATCCCAAGACGATGCTACATAGAATAACCACGAAAAGAAACAAATAGAACTGTAAAAGCCTGAAGACCAACTGGTGAGCGTTTTAAAAGGAAGATCTCACACTTTAATATAGCAGAATTATGGACACTACTGATTCTGCAAGAAACAGTAAAGCAAAAACTTCAAAAAGGAGAGAGAATGCCATGACGTACCAGCAAGCAAAATGAAGCTTTAGCAAATGTTTTCTGCACTATTTAGATATTCATATCAATTGGTATGACTAATAGATTTTTCCATCTGAGCTTTATGACCAATTATGCATCCTTTTCTAATGAGAACAAACCGAATTAAATAGCAGATGGTTTTTATCAAAAGAGCATGTACTGGATTTATAATATAAAGCAAATTATGTGATCAAGAAATCATTTCAAAATAATGAGAACTGCTGCAGAAACAGCCTGAAAACAAATGGATACCTAAATGCACTTTAGAAGCTAGAAACATTATGTTTCCTTTTCTATTTTCACGTATTCTGGAAAATAAAGGGACACAATCTTGTATTTCTTCAAAAAGAAAATGCAATTTCTATCATTTGATGAAGTTTCATTTGCCTGACAATTATGTGCTGTTCTTTAGAAATCCATTAGCCAGCTAACTCTCACTATTCATACAACTGAAGTACTCAAATAGCAAATGAATGAATTCCTACAAGACATGAAATAAAACACAGCTACTCCACTGTTACCAGGAAAAAAATTCATGTCAAAATTGTCAATGACATCATGTATCAATTTGTGGAAAACTACCATGGTGAGGCAAAAGGCCCATAAAGCAACAGCAAACAGGTAGGTCAGAAGATGCATGGAGCCCCACAGAAGAAAACAGGTGTTTTCTATCATTGCTGTTGTACTTGACAAGTGTGCTTTATTTAATTATAAATGTGATGTGACAAAACAAAGACCTGATGTTCAGTCTGCCAGTTCAGAAAATTTAGTTCTCTTAAAATTGCCTGTTTATATGAGATTTCAGTAAGCTGAGCCATTTTATATAATAAATATGTGCCTGGCAATATCTATTCCAACTAAAATGAAATTAATGTTGTCATGTGTTTATGAAATATTCACATGCATAAGGTTGTCAAAGGTAACATCAATTTAAATGTCACTGTAAATTTTAAAAACCACTAATCTTTATATTTCAAAACGAAGTATTTTGCTACTCAAATGCTATACCTGAAGTATGAAATATACTTGGATGTATGAATTCATATGATAAGCTGAATAACCTCACTGCAGACACTTCAGGTCAGAAAATCAGATATCATTCTTATAAATGACTCTAAACTCCTAAAATACATATTAGCATGAATTGGTCAAAACTGTTTATTTTAGAACTTTTCTTCAAAATTATTCACTGGCTGATGTGAACAAAATATTTATTTCACAGGTAATGAATGTGTAACTTAAAAGCTTTTTCAAAGATGGACTTCAGATTTTTTTTTTGAATTTCATTTTTCTACCCCACAAATTGTTTAAGCAAAAGAACTGAATACAGTCTTTGAAACCACTTCAAAAGCATCTACTTCTTATTACATATAAAATTTGAGTTTCCTCTTTCTATAACACACAAAAGGGTGTGGTCACAAAGTAATCAGCCATAGGACTGCTTTTTACTAAGCTTGGGGCTTTTTACTTTAGCATAATGCCTTTTTTCCCCCCAAATTTCTGTAGGTCTATTGCAAAATGTAGTGGGTATATTTACCATGACCAACAAAATGCCCGTCATTTGCCTCTTTCTTTGGAAATAATCCCAAAGTCCACACTGTTGACATCTCAGAGAATCGGCTAGAGTCGCTAGGACAGTGGTAAGACAGTGAGAACGACTTAGTGCTGTGTGGCATTTATCCTTTCAAATGAGCACTTGTCCCTTCATTTAAAATCTCACAGGGATAATTACACCTACACTAATCATGCTAGAGCACATTAAGATAGCATTTACATTCCATCCACTCACAACATTGTTTTAAATGAAATCTTAAAGCACTGGACCAGAATTAGGTTTGCACTCAGAGAAATCGTCTTATTCAGAAGCACTGTCTCTGAAAAAATGAACACTTCAGTTATTCCCAATGAAGTAAACCCTCATTGTACAGAGATCTGCACTACCAGAGGAACAATCCCCATATGGTTATTTCTTCAAAAATAGAACAATTTCCCTTTACACCAAAAACAATGCAGCCCTGATGTCTTCCAATTCTACATTTTGCATCAGTAGTTTACAAAATAAAAAAAAAATTAAGCTAAGAACATGATAAAGAGATATTTTGCTGTTTACAAAGAATATCATGTCTTGTATATCACTTAAACTGCCAAACATCAAATATTCTATTTGATTTTCTAGGGGAAACACCAACTGTTCCAAAAGAATGTGTTTTTCTCCTGTTCTGGAAATCAACATGCAGTCTGAATCAAACGTCACGGTGCGAGATGACATTGATGACATCGACACCAATATGTACCAGCCACTGTCATATCCATTAAGCTTTCAAGTGTCTCTCACTGGATTCCTCATGTTAGAAATCGTGCTGGGACTTGGCAGCAACCTTACCGTATTGGTACTTTACTGCATGAAATCCAACTTAATCAACTCTGTCAGTAACATTATTACAATGAATCTCCATGTACTTGATGTAATAATCTGTGTGGGATGTATTCCTCTAACTATAGTGATCCTTCTGCTCTCACTGGAGAGTAACACTGCTCTCATCTGCTGTTTCCATGAAGCTTGTGTTTCCTTTGCAAGTGTTTCAACAGCAATCAACGTTTTTGCTATTACGCTGGACAGATATGACATCTCTGTAAAACCTGCAAACAGAATTCTGACAATGGGCAGAGCTGTAATGCTAATGACATCCATTTGGATTTTTTCTTTCTTCTCATTCCTGATTCCCTTCATTGAAGTAAATTTTTTCAGTCTTCAAAGTGGAAATACATGGGAAAACAAGACATTGCTGTGTGTCAGTACAAGTGAGTACTATACTGAGCTTGGGATGTACTATCACCTTCTAGTTCAGATCCCCATCTTCTTCTTCACAGTTGTAGTCATGTTGATCACATACACCAAGATACTTCAGGCTCTTAATATCCGGATAGGCACTAGATTCTCAACAGGACAGAAGAAGAAAGCCCGGAAGAAAAAGACAATCTCTCTAGCCACACATGAGACTACAGACATGTCTCAAAGCAGTGGTGGGAGGAATGTTGTATTTGGTGTGAGAACTTCAGTTTCTGTAATAATTGCCCTCCGGCGAGCTGTGAAACGCCACCGGGAACGACGAGAAAGGCAGAAAAGAGTCTTCAAAATGTCGTTATTGATTATTTCTACATTTCTTCTCTGTTGGACACCAATTTCTGTTTTAAATACCACCATTTTATGTTTAGGCCCAAGTGACCTTTTAGTAAAATTAAGATTGTGTTTTCTAGTCATGGCTTATGGAACAACTATATTCCATCCTCTCTTGTATGCATTCACCAGACAAAAATTTCAAAAGGTCTTAAAAAGTAAGATGAAAAAGCGAGTTGTTTCCATAGTTGAAGCTGATCCCATGCCTAATAATGCTGTAATACACAACTCATGGATAGATCCTAAAAGAAACAAAAAGGTACCCTATGAAGACAGTGAAATAAGAGAGAAATGTTTAGTACCTCAGGTTGTCACCGACTAGAAAAAAAGTCTCAGCTTCACCAAATACATTCAGAAGAGTTTTAAATTTAAATTGTAAAAATGAAGTACTGCCAAATGTAAGAGAAAACATTCTAGGTATTGGTTATGTTGTAAATTTTCAATGTGAATGTCAATTAGATTAGGTCATATATATTCAATTTCTTCATTATTTAATGTATTTGTTGCATGGCAGTTTGTTAAAAAGTAATACCATGTGTATATTTTGTCAATATTATGTCCATCAGAAGATATCCATGTAAGTCATATTTTCTAAAGAATAAATATGTAGCCTTAAAACAGTGTATAACTTTAAAATGTAACTGACACAGGTATCTACATTTTTAAAAATGTATGAAGTCTATTATTTCTAAGCCACGAACTACAGATATATTTATATGATGACAAGTTGCATAAAGTATTTAACACAAAAAAATTATAGGCTCAAAAAAAATCAAAGCAAGATTTTCTGTACCACTATGCTATGTTTCTGATATGACTGACTTGTTATAACATTTTAACAACAAAATAATGAACTATATATAAACCTTATTTCTTTTGAATGTAGGAAATATAGGCTATACTAGTATTTCAAAACCATGAGTCAGTGAATAAATAAACCCTGTATACGCATACAAAAATAGGGAAACCTTAAAATTCAAGTTTACTATAAAAAGAAAAGAGACTGAATTCTATTACAAGGGTAATATGCCTATAATACAAATGAACCAACAATAAAGGGAGGGAAGAAAGTCACAGTAACACCAGCCTTATTCCTCCGTCCTCATTTTGCCTAATCCTACACCAAAAATGTCCTAGGCTAAAAGAAAACACTGGTCTTAAAAAGCTGCAATAAAGTAATTTTTCACTTAACTCTACTATTTTGTATACAAGACATTAACCATGCAAATAGGAAGACTGAGCAGAAGATGAAGACCATTTCTGTCACTGTAGAAAAGCATGACACAGGCAGATGTTTCTAATTTTGGATATATAGCAACTTATGTGAGACAGAATTTATACAACATTCCTTTCCAGCCTTCAAAATACAGCAGCTCTGTTTCCAGTCTCCAGGAGATTAAACCAATAATAAATTGTGTCACATTTCTGTTCCACCACCATGTAACTTCAACATTTTTCTCTTAAATCCTCAACTGTTGTTAGAAAATGATTATTCGTTGTAATTATAGATTGTAATTATAGATTGCTACTTTCATAGCAAACAATAATTTCTTACTTGTTATAATAATCTGGCAATGCATAGTAATACCAAAACTTAGCAACAACTTATTTAAAATAGGTAAGTACCTGCTATATGTAACTGGATAGCTTGACAATAATTATTCTATATTTTAAATACTATATTCACTAATGAAGTAACATACTTTTTAAATTTAAAACCTCATGGTAAACAACTCAATATATATCACTTTTTATACAAAGGTAAGATTCATCTAATCAACTTTACTGACTAGCCTAGTCCCTGGGGAAATGAGTGTGATAATGGAGCTTGAAGTCACTAAGGTTTCTGGAAAATTAAACTGATTCATTTCTGATTATAATATGAGAGTGTCAAAACTTGGCAAAGACCCACTTTCCTTCCGCTTTATGAAATTTAAAAAATGCTACAGTTTGATAAATTGTAGCATTATCAAATAAAATTTATTTTTGAAACCTAAAATTAAGACTTAATGGTGTTAAGAATTTTTTCACTCAATAAATACATTTGGCTTACAATATATTCTAACATCTTAATTACAACTTTTAATGCATTTTTTACCTGAACTTCCAGACATAAGTTAAAATGCTAACACCTAGATTTATAAAATCTTAATTTTAAAACCTAGACTGCTTATAGAGTTTGTGTTATGAAAACCCTTCACTGTGCTTTCAGTATTTTAAATCATGAGGTTTATAAGCATTCTAAAGACTTTCATATAGAAGCTAATTTCTGCCCTGTTAGCCTAATAGTTTCAAGCATTCTGACCTCCTGAATTAGGGAAAAAAATAGCAAACATTGTAACTTCGCCCTGTAAGCGGCTATCTGTTCATTGGATATCAGAGTTGTATCTACTGACTTACAACAAACAAAATCTGTACCTGCCTACACTTTGCCTAAAACCTCAAGTAGCTTTTAATGTGTTAAATAGTATATAATGTGTAGAAAGCAGTGCAGAAGAAAATACAGAAATGTTTGCGACTGCTGACCTCTTGGTAAAGGAGAGTTTAGCTGACCTCAAGTTTTCACTGACTTATACTCTATTGAAAAAGCAAAGCATTGTTTTCTGGGGGTGTCTTTTGCTTTGGTGGGGTTTTTTTCCCCTCCTTTTTTCACTAGTAATTATTCTCCCAAGAACATTCTTGCTAAGTTTTCCTTTTATAATAAAAACTCTTTTTGCAAATGCAATATAGGCAGGAGGGAACTTGGTATGGACTGTTTCTTACAATTCTACTTTTATATCCATGTGCTTCCAAACTGTGCTTTCAGATAAAGATGCTAACATCTTCAGTTAGTTGAGTCAGCTACGCCAAGGAGGAGCTCTTATAGAAATTCGTATCGTCTTTTTTGTTTTGTTGCCAATCTAGGAAATTTATTACTCCACAAAAAAAAAAAAGATGTTCAATCCTATTGTGAAGTTTAATTCTTCACAATTTTTTTTAAAAAGCTGTATTGTATATTTCATAATGTTAGTCATATTCGCATAAGTGATCAGATTTTTCTATCTCAAAAAGAAAAAGAAAAACTATAATAAAATCTCATTTCTCCAGGTTTAAAACTGGGACTTTTCCAGCCAGACAGGTAAGGCTGGCAACCAGAGTTCAATTCCTGGAACTCACATAAAGGTAGAAGAGAAACAATACCACAGAGTTGTCCTCTAATTTCCAAAAGTAGAGTTTGGTACTTGAACATGTGTGCATATACATACTCTAAATAAAAAATATATTTTTTAAATCATACTCAAGAGTAAAAATAAAATTTAAGAAAATAGTTATTAGGATTTTATTACACACAGCAATTTTGAGGCTATACTTCAAGGTCAAAAACATTTTTTAATTTTATTACATTTTGTGGTTATATATTTAGGTTGTGGAATTCAATTGGCCTGTAAATTTCTGCCATACACAAGCATTATGTCAGAGATAATTGTTGAATTACAGAAAAAAAGGTCAGGAGCCACAGGAAGGTAAGAATCCAAAATCAAGGTATACCTCAAGCACTGCTTCTGAGAGCTGCTTGGGATGGAGCTGCAGGATTTTGGAATCCCTGTATATATTTAAGGCCATAACTTAAAGATGGGTCTAATGCTAATTACAAGTTTCATCTATTTCATATACACATGCCCTAAAGGTAATTTATGGAATATTTTAATGTGACTGCATTTGAACTGAAATCATTACATTAAGTCAAGTGTAGAATATTCCCCATGTTCTGTCCAAAAAGTTTCAGATCATAGAATATTTTAGATTTTCAGATTAGTGACACTTGAGCTATTTTTAAAAAGTGTGAAAATACCTGAAAGAGGAGGCAGACGGCATAAATGTGATAAAAGACACGTAATATTTTAGGGGACTAAAGAAGAAAACAATTATATTGAATTTACTAAAATTATAACAATGTACTACTGAGGAAAACTACTACAACATATTCCACACAAAAAAAGGAAATTGCTGTTTAGAAGAAAATTAATCTAGTAGGGGAAAGTTGTTTAGGAAGTCACATTGGGCCATGACACATGATCTGAAATGCCAGCAGAAGTATGGAAGCAAGTAATAACAAGGACAAGCCTCCAGAGTCACCAACAACCTGTAAGAGTGTGATATGCACTGGCTGGCGAGGGCCAAAATGACGGCAGCAGCCCAGCAAAGAGTCAACCACTGGGACAGGCAGTTACAGTCGCAGGCAACAGGCTTTCCTAGCTAACTAAAGACAATTGGTGTTAAGAAAGGGAAGAACTAAGCACAGCCACATGGGGAAACCATCCAGACCAGATTACCTTGCAAAACGGCTAACAAGGGCAAAACTAAGAATCTGGGGAAGGAAACTTCAATACAGTAAAATGAGTATTATTCATGAATGTTTTCATTACCAAAAAACATTTAGACTGATGGGATTTGGGAGTTTTAGTTTTGATTTTGAGACCAAGTCTCACTAACTCTGGCTGGTATGGAATTAACCATGCAAACCTGAACGGCCTCAAACTCAGAGATATGTATATTTCTGTTTTTTAAATGTTGTGATCAAAGGCCAGGCATCTAAACTGAAATTTCAAGATTGAATTTTTTGAATTATCTACTTTATAGACCATAGTTAGCTTATAATATATATTATATTATGAACATCTATATAACTTTACCAAGGCCTTATTCTATACATCCTTTACAAAACCCTGCATTCCTGCACCACATAAGACCAAATGTGATGGAACATGCCTGAAATCCCAGCACATAGCTCAGGGTGGGATGATGATAAGTTCAAGATCATTCTTGGCTAAATATAGAGCTTGAGGCTAGCGTGGACTACATAAAACCCTTTCTCAAAATAAAATGAAAGGAAATAAAATGAAATATAATGACAGTATAACAACATACATATAACAGAAAATAAAAAAGCCATCCTTTGCCTTTTTCACCCCAATAATTCATAATGAGCATCGATTCATTTCATTATATACATATCTTCATTATTTGTTAATGGATGCATAAAATTGTTGTTGTTGTTGTTGTTGTTTTCGACTAGGGTCTCACTCTGGAGTTCTGACTGTCCTGGGACTTACTATGTAGGCCAAGCTAGCCTTGGACACAGAAATCAATCTACCTCTACCTCTCTCTACCTCCTGAATACTGGAATTAAAGGCTAAGTCGCCACATCTGGATGATAAACATAATATTTTAAATTAAGATTTGTTTAAAATATAGCAATGTTAAGAAACACTATTAAAGAATCAAATAATTAAACCTTTTTTATAGACAAAAACAGCTTCAAGCTGTACTTCAAGATCACCTTGAAAAATTCAAGAAAGTATTCTATTTCTTAACTTGATATCAGAAGCAAACATTTTTTTCTAAATAGAGGCAAGAAAGAAAAAAAACTACAGAACATCTTTTCTTCCTTTCCTTAAATTAAATATGAAATGTGTCAACAAAGGAACTTTTTGGAGAGTCTTTATTTCACAGTTCAGAGATGACCATTTGCAGACGACAGTCTTAAATGCAGGCCCCTTTGATGACATAATGAGACCAAAAAAAAAAAAAAAAGAAACATGAATTAACTTATAATAAATATTACATGGAAAAATGGTATCTAGGTGCTATCATAAGAGAGAAAAATAATATGCCAGTCAAAGACATAGGAAAAGGGGCTGAAGGCACACAGTTCAGTGGTTAAGAACATTTTCTGTTCTTCCAAAGGACTCAAGTTCCATTCCTAGCTCCCACATGAGAAAGCCCACAACCTCCTGTTAACTCTAGCTCCAAGGAGCTCCACATACTCCTGCATACATGTGGATAAAACAAATCTGTTTTTAAAAGACAAAATACTCAAAGGGCTAGAGTTAACAAAAGAAAACTAATTCAAAACTGATCTTTCTTTAAGAAACATTCAACTAATGAAAGAATCTCTAGCTCACTGGCTAGATACATTTGAAATATAAGTTGATACTATACCATAAAAAGTACAATAACTATTAGAATATTAAAGTAATTGCACATATTTGCAAAAGAGTGGTATCTGATTAGAAAGAGTGGGCTTGTTACTAATATAAAAGATATTACTGCCAAAGGAATATTCATTTTTACAACTGAACAGAGCTCAGTAAACTCAATGGAAATATCATTCCCCTTTCTCATAAAATAAGTGAAGATAACCCTAAGTGTCTCTACCATTCTTGTCACACAATTTTTACAGGCCCCAATAAGCTGCATCCTTGGCTTTCAGACATGACAGCTTTGTACTTCCACCAGCAGGTGGTAAAAGGAGCTGTCATTCATGTCACTGCCACCAATATCAAGTCTACCACTATCAAACCCTGAAGCATCACTAGATAAAAGCAAGCTGAGTCTGTCTGGGAGCAAGGTCATTTTCCTCACCCTGCTTCCATGAAAGCAATGCGTCATAGTTTCCTGAGAGGCATTAGCAGGGCAGACTACAAAGCATATCTACCAAGTTTTCCAGATGAAAAGAAATAAGAGCACAAGAATAATAACATTATAAAGACATTACTTTCCCTTTAGAGTTACAGACATAATAATTCTCACGGTAGATAGAAAGTTTTAATTTAATATAAAAATTTTATGTTAATGCTGACAAAATGCAGACTCTGGTCACACTAAACATAGACTGTAGGAGTGAGAAACATATGGTAATGCAGAGAAAAAGACAAATACATCAGCAAATCATATTACTCATAATTCCATGTCATAGTCTATATATGGGCTATTCTTATTGGTATACAATATTATTTGTTGACTGAATAGAGAAGATTACTGTATTATTCATGGCACAGGGCCAGCTGAAATGGGAACACTAGCCAGGCGTGGTGGTATACATCTTTAGTTCCAGTGCTCAAGACAGCAGAGACAGGCAGATTTCTATGAGTTTATGTCATCCTTGTGTATTCCAGACCAGTCAGTATTATATGGTGAGACCACCCCTCAAAAAAGAGAAAGAAAGAAAAAGAAAGAAGAAAGAAAAAGAAAGAAGAAAGGAAAGGAAAGGAAAGATAAATTTGTCTACTCCACACTTTAATGGTTTTCTTTCCATGTTTTTTCTTAATTTTGTTATAGAACAACATGTTAGCAAACTACAGCTACCTTACTGTACAAAGCTATCTTAACTATATAAA